CCAGGACTCAAACCGCGGTTGACTACATGGGAGTCCAGCAACGTAGCCATTACACTAACTGCTGGTCTCTTATTTATTTATTTTAATTTGACCAGAGAGGGACAGAGTGAGAGAAAGAAAATGAGAAAGCAAGCCACCAGGTCTGGGACTCAAACCACAGTCTGCCATGTGGGAGTCCAGTGCTCTTAACCACTACGCCACCTGTGGGCCTCGGAAGTCTGAACTTTAAAATGAAAACATCTCAGGACTAGCAGTTGGCATAATGGTTGTGTTGCTGGATTCCCATGTAGTTGACCACAGTTCGAGTCCCAGTGGCTTAAACTCAAGCCAGGCGCGTGCGCATGCGTGCCCAAGATCCCGAGAGGGGAATAGAGAAGAAGAGATTGTGGCTTGGCCATCCCCCTAAGGAGTGATTTCTCGCTTTCTGTCTCTCTGTCTTTCTGGCGAGCACATGCACGCTATAGCAAAAACCCCTCCAGGAAAAAAAAAAAAAAGAAAGAAAGAAAGAAAGAAAACATCACAACTTTTGAGGGAGAAACAATTTTTGTGCCAAACTATGCGTGTCTGCCTTCTCCATTTCTCCATTCTGTCTGGATTTTGAGTATGCATTCACATGTTTCTGGCATGTTTTTCAAGCCACCAGGGCCAAGATTTGAACTCTGGTCAGTCAGCTTCCTTAACCACTAGGTTCTAGAGCTGGCCCTTAATTTGGTCTTTAGTAAGCCATTACACCAAACCAGGGGCCATATGGATTTGTTCCACTAAGGATGCTACATTTGAAATAGCAGCTACAACTAGAGTCACCCACTAAGTTTATAATAGTCCATAATCATTCTCCAAGAGCCATCTGATTTTCATACATGCTAAACTCTTGCCTGTTCAAGGTTTTTTTCCCCATTCAAGTTTTTGGTTTTAGTTTCTATAGGGAGCATGCACTCGCCAGAGATACAGAGAGAAAGGGAAAGTGAGAAATCACCCTGCTCCTCCCAGGGAATGGCCATGCTGCAATCCCTTCTCCTTCATTCTCCTCTGGGGCATGTACGCACACACACCTGGTGTGATTTTCAAGCCACTGGGTCTTGGACTCGAACTTTGCAGTTGGCCATGTGGGATCCAGCCACCTTAATCTCATTCCACTTGCTAACCTTCCAAGCTTTTAAGGGTGGCATTAGTCTCTGCCATTTTACTTCTAATTAACTTCTTAAAAAATATTTACTTAATCTTGTTTTTTAGTTTACTATAGGGCACACACAGTCACCAGAGAGAGAGAGAGAGGGAAAGGGAGAAAGCAAGCTGGCAGGTCTGGTACTTGAGCCACGGTCGGCCATGTGGAAGTCCAGCACCTTAACCACAATTCAGCCTGCTGGCCCTCTAGCTAACTGTCTTGTTAGGAAGTAGAAGTTCTAGGGGCTTTCACTTAGCCCTTTGTATCATAATTCTCTCACTTCATGGATCAGAGAGCCAATGTGGGGCTTCTGCTCATTGCCATAGATGCCTTTTTCTATTACAGGTACAGAAATTTGGAAATAACTCTGGTGGTGGCGGAGGGGGTGCCATGGATCAGCTGAGTCCTTATGAGCTGGGCTTGACCAAAACTCCGTCTAGTACCTGATCACCTTTACCCCCACTTTAACTGATGGGCCACAGTGGAATTTAGGATTTCTAGGAATTAGTATCAAATCAGAACTAGAATATAGCAATCCTCAAAAGTTCTGAGTATTTTCACAGTTACTCTAGCAAATGGGCCACACTTCCTTTCTCAAGGAAACCCAACCTTCCCTTCATTTAAAGGGACTCTCGATCTATGCTCACATAGGTCTAGAAATTGGGGGACATCTCTACTTTGAACTCTAGTTAGACTTCTACCAATCAGAGCAGTATTTTTTTCTGATTGACAATACTGGTTCAATATGACAGAGTCAAAGTATTCTGCAGAGTACCTGCTGATAAATAATACAGTGAATAATCATAGGCTTTCAACACCTTACATGTCACAAGTAAATTTGTCCAACTAAAGTTTTTTCTACTCCACATATATTTTTAGCAGTATTAATTGTAACACAGCATATTTCACTTCAGTTTATACAGAATTAGTGGGATTTTGTTTGGTTTTTGCTATAGTGCGCTTGCACTCACCAGAAAGAGAGGGAGAGTGAGAAATCACACCCCCCCTTCCCCAGGGGGTGGCCACACGCAATCCCTTTACCTCCAGTTTCCTCCTGGGATTTTGGGCATTCACACTCACATACGCCCAGCATGATTTTCAAGTCTGTGGGTCTGGGACTCAAACTACAAGTTGTCCATGTGGGATCCAGTGTCTTAACCACCACACCATCTACTGGCCCCTAAATTAGTGTTTTGGGGTCAGCAGGTGGTGTGGTGGTTAAGGCATTGGACTCCCTCCTGGCTGATTGTGGTTTGAGTCTCAGACCTGGTGGCTTGCTTTCTCACTCCTCCCACCCCTTCTCTCTCTCTGGTGAGTGCGCATGCCCTGTAGCAAGTTAAAAAAATAATGAGGGACCAGCAGAAGGCATAACAGTTGTGTCGCTGGACTCCCATGTAGTCAACCATAGTTCAAGTCTTCACTGGGTGTGTGTGTGCACATGTGCCCAAAATCCTAAGAGGAGAATGGAGGAGAAGGGATTGCGGTGGGCCATCCCCCCTGCGGGGAATGATTTCTCACTTTCCGTCTCTCTGTCTCTGTCTTTCCGGCAAACACACGTGCCCTATAGTAAAAACTCTCTCTAAAAAAAAAAGATAAATAAAATTAAATAAGAAATTATGTTTAAAAATATACATATATGGGGCCAGCATGTGGCATAGTGGTCAAGGTGCGGGGCAGTCCCACATAGCTGCCCATGGTTCCTGATGACTCGCTTTCTCACTTTCCCTCTCTCTCTCTTTGTGTGTCTTTCTGGTCAAATTAAAATAAATGAGTAAAGTTAAATGAAAAAAAAATTTCTTATTTGTAGTTATTCCACATACACTGTCTGTAAAAGCTATTTTTTTTAAAGAATTTTTCTATTTATTTATTTTTTAAATTTCTGTTCACCAAAGAGAGAGGTAAGACAACAATCCACCAGGTCCGGGGTTCGCCATGTGAGAGTCCAGCGCCTTAACCACCATGCCACCTGCTGGCCCTGAAGCTAATTCTTGAATCACTTCAAACTCATATTTCATTTTTTGAATAAACAACATTCACTAAGCAATATTGGTAGCATCTGTTAAATCAAGAGCCAAGAAAAAACACTTAAATCATTCACTGTTTTAAAGTTGTTATTGATGTTAATTACCCCCAATGTTTTCAACTCTGAGCAACTGTCCTTAAATGGCAAATAGTGGGCTAGCTGGTAACATGGTAAGGTGGCTGAATCCTCCATGGCCAACCGTGTGGTTCAAGTCCTGGACCTTGTAGCTTGAAAAACATGCCGGGCATGTGTACGTGTGTGCCCAAAATCTTGAGAGGAGAATGGAGAAGTGATTATGGCATGGCCATCTCCCCATCTCACTTTCTCTCTCTCTAGCAAGTGTACATACTCGAAAGCAAAAAACAAAACAAAAACAAAAATCCCACATCACAGTGTTTATAGTGATTATTGTTATTAGTTTAGAATTTTTTGCCATAGGGTGCTTGTGCCCTAGCACACAATAATTTAAACAGGGAGGTTTGGTTTTTTTTTTTAAGGAATTTTTTATTTCATTTTATTTTTTATTATTATCATTCACTATAAAGAA